GCCTAGGAGAATTCTCTGTACTATCCACTCCATTTTTCTGTGAACCTATAACTATTCTAAAAAATGATGTCTATTGGCCGGGCGCAGTGGCTCAAGCCTGTAATCCCAGCACTTTGGGAGGCCCAGGCGGGCGGATCACGAGGTCAGGAGATCGAGACCATCCTGGCTAACACGGTGAAACGCCGTCTCGACTAAAAAATACAAAAAAACCAGCCAGGCGAGGTGGCGGACGCCTGTAGTCCCAGCTACTCGGGATGCTGAGACAGCAGAATGGCCTAAACCCGTGAGGCGGAGCTTGCAGTGAGCCGAGATCCGGCCACTGCACTCCAGCCTGGGCAACAGAGCGAGACTCCGTCTCAAAAAATAATAATAATAATAATAATGTCTATTAATTTTTTTTAATTAGGTTGCAGCAGCCCCATATCAAGGTTTGGTGGCATCCTGTTAGTGTTAGTTAGTACCTGTGTGGTTAGTACTTGGCATTGAAGTGCACCAACCTGGAGTCAGAGCAGTTGGAGATTTCCAGGCCTGTGCCATTTACCTCGAATCCTGGGGTGCCCCGGAAAACAGCAGATCAGTTAGGGAGAAGCAGCCTCAGTAATCTAGACAGTGCAGGTTTGCGGTAAGGACAGGTACAAACCATCTGGGTGGGCAGACCTTGGTGAAGACTAGAAAACACTGAGACTCAGCAGCTGCCCCAGTGGAACCCACAAATCAAAGGAGGCGCTGCCAGGAACTAAGGGCTACTGGATGAGCTCCCTGCCTGCAACACAGAAGCAGCTCCAGAGATTCTGGTAAATAATGTGGGTTTCAATACAGTGTGATCGACTCAAAACAGTAGGGAGAACAAAAAAGAAAAAAAAAGAGAGAGCATGAGAGAGAAAGAAAAAGAAAAGAAAAAAGGAAGAAAGGAAAGGGAGGGAGGGAAGGAGAAAGGAAGGGATGGAGGCAGGGAGGGCGGGAGGGAAAGAATAAAGAGAGAGAAAGAGAGTTGGAGGGACATAGGGAGGTAAGGAAGGAAGGAAAGGAGGGAGGGAGGGAGGAAGAAAGGGAGGGAGGGAGGGAACAAATATACATGAAGATGAGAACATCGGGGGAACTTACACCACCAATATTTTCCATTAACAGGAACACGCGAACTAGTGATTAGAGAAAGACGCACTACTGTAAAATCGTATACTGTTTCCATGGGGTACAACCCCTTCCTCCTCCTCTGAAACATTCTGTCTCTCGCCCACTGATGCCAGAGACTCCAGAATCTACCTGGCTGCATTTGGGGGCCTCAGCCCCCGGGTCTGATGTCATCCATTTGCCTTTCTCACTGGACTTCTCTCCTTGCACTTGCTCCCACTCCCCCAGGACCTGGTGGGCGGCCACGTGAGAAGGACACAAACAAATCATGCCTCTTTCTTTCTCCCCTTCTCAATGTCTGCAGTGGTGGGTTCCGTGGGGTAGTGGCCTGAGATTTATTCATTATGGGGCCTCTAGCCCAGAGCAGGGCCTGCTACCTAACAGTCACCCCATGAAAGCTCAGGGAAAAAAGGCATCCACCACAAGGTCCTGGGGAACCAAGAATTCCACTGTGGCCCATAAATTCTAAGTCCTACAGGATTCTGGAATGGGAGATGGGACAGGCCTTCAAAAGTGGCCACTCTTTTAACCCATTATACTGTCAACTGAGCCATGTTTCCCCATCCTGGACACATCTAGAGGGCACCGCCTAAAAACAGACACATCTCCCCATCCAGGAGAGAGTAGGGGCCTGAGCCTGGGGGATGCAGGGGGACAGGGAGGGGATGAGCCAAGAAAGCTGAAGAGGAGAAAGCAGGTGTAAGGGGACAGCAGGGTGGAAACAGAGAGAAAAGGGGACAGACAATGGGGGGTGAGAGGGGAAGAGTGAGGAGAGGGATGCAGATCTAGCTACTCAGGAAAAGTCCTGGAGAGAACACTGTCCTCTCCTGAAGTAAAATCACTTCCACCTGACCACGGCACTGCAGGTCGTGGGCAGCACACGCTGGGAATATTTGTTCATTCATTTCACAAATACTTATTTCATATCTGTTTCATGCCAGGCAAGGCCCTGCGATCTTTAGGGACCTTGGCATCTTCCCTTCACATCTGAGTCACAATAGGAAGAGGACTCTCTGACCCCATCGAGCCGGCAATGCCTCGGGATTTTTACCTGTTGGATCTGGCAGCTCTTCATGTCGGCCCACACCGTGTGAGGCTGCTCTTGGTGCACCGAATGGGGAAGTTTCTGCATCAGTGACTCGGAGAGTCCACCGGAAGCCCTGGACAGTGGGAGTCGGTGGCACCCCAGCGTGGAGGCCAAGAGCACACAACACTGAAGCTCCAGACACCCTCAGGAAGACAGGAAGGGACAATCGGCTGGGGAGAGCCTGGATCACCAGGAACCTTCGCCTGGGTCAAAACAGGATTTGCCTTCAGATTGCCTGTGAGATAAAAAAGAGAAATCAAGGTTAACATTGAGATTTGGGGCTTCGGCAACTTGAAGGATGGAGCTGCCATTTACGGAGACTGGGAAGACCCAAGGAACAGCGGCTTGAAAGGTGGTGGGGAACTAGAGTTGGTTGGGTTTCTGTCATATGTAATCAACAGTCCTGACCAGACTGGGCAACATAGTAAGACCCCCTCCCTGGAAATGAAAACTGAAAAATTAGACCAGCATGGTGGTGCACACTTGGAGTCTCAGCTACTCGGGAGGCTGAGGCAGGAGGATTCCTTCAGCCTTCAGTTAGAGGTTAGTGAGCTATGATGGCACCACTGTACTCCAGCCTGGGGGGAAAAAAAATAAAGAGTCCTGACTAAATACTTGAGTAGCCAGGGAAGTTGTCACAAAGTAGGTAATATTTGAGGCACATCTTAGTGAACGAGAATTCCATTATTTCTGTTAGGGAATTAAGAGAGTGTGGGTGTAGTTAGTTAATGCTTACTGAACCATCTTTGGAATCTCATCTACTGCTCTATCTGGTCTATCTGTACACATATATTCTATATGCTGTCTCGCTGAGCTTTCACTAGGTTATGCTACAGTAACAAAAGCCCCAAAATCTTAGCAGCTACCCACACAAAGCTTTATTTTTTATTGACGTTTCCTTTTATGGCAGGTTGACTGTGACTCTGCTCTATACAAGCTATTTTATTTGTTAGATGGTGAAAACTGTGATACTTGGAGATTGCTGAATATGGTATTAGTATGTTCATTCATTCATTCATTTAACAAATATGGATTCAATATCTCTTTCATGCCAGGCAAGGTCAAGTATTGAGAAGACAGTGGTGAATACAAGAGACAAAATCTCTAATTTCCAGGAGCTAATATTGAAAATAAGATTAAAGACAAACAAAATAATCATAACAACAATGAATATTATATTCATAAATATAGCTGTAAGAGATTTTAGGAAATCTTTTAAATTACAAAAATGTAAAAATTATTAAAACTAAAATGGCCAGGTTTGATGGCTGATGCCTGTAATCCCAACACTTTGGGATGCCAAGGTGGGAGGATCATTTGAGCCCAGGAGTTTGAAACCAGTCTGGGTGCTACAGGAAAACTCTGTCTACAAAGAAATAGAAAATTAGCCAGGTATAGTGGTATATTCCTGTAGACTCAGCTACTAAGGAGGCTGAGGTAGGAGGATTGCTTCAGCCTGAGAGGTCAAGGCTGTAGACAGCCATGATCATACCACTGCACTCCAGCCCGGGTGACAGAGCGAGACTGTCTCAAGAAAAAAAAAAATTATTCGATGTAGTCCTCAAACTATTATGTAGAATACTATTATTTACATCACATCACGTGAGCCCTTTCAATGGCTGAACACTTATTTCAGTGCGATCCAGAAAGCTTTCCTGGGAACTAAGTACACCTAAGAACAATTCAGTATGAAAGAGTTACTGCCTTGACAGGAAGATTGTAAACATTTAAAAAGGCAAATAAATAAATAAAAGAGTGAAAACTGTAGCTCTGTGAGGCTCAAATAACATCTCATTCAAGTCACAATGAACATCTTGCAATCATTATGAACACCATATAATTCACTTAATACATTTTGCCTGAACGTCCAACACATCTGAATGACCAGCACCTGTATGTAGCCAAGAAATTGACAATCATTTATAAATTATCACTTATGACTCCATCTGCTCTACGCACTTATTTTTTTAAATTTATTCATTTATTTATTCTTTTTATTTTTTGTAGAGATGGGATCTCACTATGTTACCCAGGTTGATCCAGAAACAGAAACAGACCCACACTAATTTCAGAAATCAGATGACAATACAGTCATTCGATTTATGAAAAAAAGTGCCACACGGTGCAGAAGGAAAAGGATGGTCTTTTCAACAAATGGTGCTGGATCAAGCAGACACATCCATGTAGTAAATAGTGAATCATAGCCAAGTGGGGTAGCTCATGCCTGTAATCCCAGCACTCTGGGAGGCTGAAGCGGGCAGATTACTTGAGCCCAAGAGTTGGAGACCAACCTGGGAAACATGCTGAATCCCCATCTCTACAAAAAATACGAAAATTAGCCAGGCATGGTGGCGCACGCCTACAGTCGCAGCTACTCAGGAGGCTGGGGTGGGAGGATCGCTTGAGCCAGGAGGTGGAGGTTGCAGTGAGCTGACATGCTGCCACCACACTCTAGCCTGGGCAATAGAGTGAGGCCCTGTCTGAAAAAAAAAAAAATGCAAAAACTAAAATAAAATTGCTATAAGGTTAACACAGAAAAATGTGTTCATACTCTTAGGTTAGGCGTTGATTTCTTAAACAGGACACAAAAAGTAGTAACCATCAAGGAAAAGATTGATAAAGTATAATTTCATTAAAATTAAGAATCTCAGGCCGGGTGCAGGGGCTCATGCCTATAATCCCAACACTTTGGGAGGCCGAGGCAGGTGTATCACGTGAGCCTAGGAATTCCAGACCAGCCTATGCAATGTGGCAAAACTCCATCTCTACTAAAACTACAGAAAAGAGCTGAGTGTGCTGGTGCTCCCCTGGAGGTCCCAGCTATTCTGGGCTGAGGCAGAAGCATCACCTAAGCCTTGGGAGGTCAATGTAGTGGTAAGCTGAGATTGTGCCACTGCACTCCAGCCTGGGCAACAGAGTGAGAGCCTGTCTCAAAAAGAAAAAAAAAAAAAGTTAGAGAATCTCCATTCATGAAAAAACACCATTAAAAGAGTAAAAAGGCAAGTTACAGATTGAAAAAAGGGAAATGCAATACATATATATCCTAGAAAGGATGCATATCCAGAATAAAGTATTACAAATCAACAGAAAAATAAGCAAGTCAATGAAAAGTGGATAAAAAGATTTAATAGGCACTTCACAAAAGAGGGCATAAAAATGGCAATAAAAGATAATCTCAATTAAACCACACTGATACATTACTGCACCCCTACTAGAATGGCAAAACAATTTTTAACTGACAGGCATCAGCAAGGACATGGGGTAACCAGAATATCCCTGCTAAATGGTACAACCACTTTTGGAAAATGTTCAACAATATGTAATACTAAAGTTTTATCATTCATATACATCTGAAACCAACAATGCCACTCCTACAAATAGACCCCAGTCTAGTACTGTTCTATTTCTTGAACTGTGGTGGTTCACGGTAAAAATTACTTTTTTTTTTCTTTTTTTTTTGAGACAGGGTCTCACTCTGCCATCCAAGTGGGAGTGCAATGCCATGATCATGGCTCACTGCAATCTCAGCCTCCGAGCTCTGGTGATCCTCCCACCTCAGCCTACCGGGTAGCTGGGACAACAGGCACACACCACCACACACAGCTAACTTTTGTATTTTTAGTAGAGATAGGGTTTTGCCACATTGCCCAGGCTGGTCTGGAAATCCTGGGCTCAAGTGATCTACCCAGCTTGGTGTCCCAAAGTGCTGGGATTACAGGTGTGCTCTACTGCGCCCGGACCACCTGCACTTTTAAAATAGTGTACTTCTTCTGTATACTTCAGTACCTTTTCAAAGATTTCTTTGACCAAAGTTCTCAGAAATCTTAAAGCTAGCATTTCAGAACAGAAAAAAATAGCTTCTGCTTCACTGGTGAAATTTTACTAATAAAATTTAAAAACAAAAGAAAGCTACTAACGCACATCAGCTCCGAACAAAGATTAAACACTACCAGCAGATCTTTCTTTAACTTCGTGAAGCACTGAGATTCATTCTTTCGGCAAAGAAAGGATGAACACTGTAACCCAAAGAAAAGATACCACTTGAGAAAAGACTTCTTTTCGAAAGCAGTTCTAGCAACAAAAGACAGGAGGAAAGCAAGGAAACCATGCCAAACGTCTTGGTTAACTCTTCGGTGAAAGGACGCCAAATGGGATGATCTAAGAAGCCAGAAAGACAGACAGACAGACACAGGGAAATCATAGCAACTCTTTGCAGTGCAAACACCAACCCCACAGTCCATCCTGCTGGAAATCCTGAGGTTAATTTGAGGCTTGCCCCGCTAGTCATGAGGTGATTCGGTGATGGCCACAAACGCTCCTCATGTGCATCCTGGACCTGGCACACCTGGCTTGCCCATCGCCAGCCTGGAGACACCGCCAGGAGCAGAATCCCGGAGGCCAATAAAGACTCCAACTTTGCAAGCACAGGGAACCCATTCTGGCCTCGAAGGTGGGGTCCGGGGTCAGTGTCCTCTACAGGATATAGGAGGACGTGCCCCGGAAGCTGCTCCGTCCCTCCACTGCCTGCGATGCCACAGAACACCCGCCAGCGACTTTCTTCCCCAGCGCGCACCAGAGGTGGGCTGCGGGCGGCAGCAGCAGGGGAAGAATCGAGCTCAGGGAACTCAGGCCCCGGCCGTGCACCCCCCACACCCACCACCCCTCGCGCTACAAAACTTGCCACCGCCGCGCCTCAACCCAGCTGTGCGCCCGCGAGTCTCGGATTCACCGCCCGCCCAGCCGGGAGAGGCGTCCTCACCTCGGAAACGCTGGGTGGACTTCGTGGTAACTTCCCATCCAGAGAGCAACCGGCAGCCGCGCCTCCGCGCCTCGGCCCAGCTCCTGGCGCAGCAGGTCGCCAGTCCCACGTTCCAAAAGCGCCATGCTCACGCAGAAGCTCAGGCAGCCTCGCGACCCTCACCAGCCACTCCCAGTACCGCCGCGGTCTCAACCGCCAGCCAGCCCTGCGCCCGCGCCAGCCCGCGACTGGCTCCTCAGGATCAGGCTAGGCGGAGTCAGGAGAACCCAAGGCGCAGGCGCGGCGGGGTCTTAAAGGGACCGGGCCGCCTCTACTGCATAACGGTTCCAGCAGGTTAGGGGCCTCGCGGGCCGAGAAAAGGAGTAACCCAGGGGATGGACCGAGTGCAGCGGGGATGGGGAAATCCCTCTTTCCCCTCCGCCTCTCTTTCAAAACACCAGCCCTCCACTGTGCAAATCGCTGATTTTCCCGGCCACTTGAACCGCCCCTGCCAGGTTCAAGAGGCAGGAGACACACCCCCTTGGGGCCCCGAGCGACCCCGCGCTTAGCACTGCAGGCCTCCCGCTGCCGCACCGCCCCCGAGTCTGACTTCCAGGCCCGGGCAGGCAGTGCAGACGCGCAGGCTTCAGAAGGCAGCCCCCAGCTCCCCCGACAGGTGGCCTTAGGTCACTCGCAAAAAAAAATCCAACGTGTCAATGGCACTTGTAGTTATTTTCTAATTTAAATTTATAACAGATTTTGCAGATGGGCTCCCACTGAAATAAACCTTTGAGAAAAAGAAAACCTTTTTTTTCAACAAGGTTAGGAAATACCAAGAAATAGGAAGTAAAGCCATGCCGTCCACCCAGCTAAAAACTTTGAAAACTTGATATTTTATCTAAGGAAAATGTTTGCATAACTTTAGGTCATGCCATTATTTAAAATCAATTTCAATTAACAATTTTATTGCAACTGAATCTATCTTGTGTAAGCAAAGATACATCCCTGATAATCTACCTCTCCCCTCCTGTATTCCATCCATCAGCAAGTCCTACTGGTTTTTACCTTCCAATTTTTCCTTGAATGTGTCCTCTTCTGTCTCTTCCATCAGCACCCTAGTCTAGGCTACCTTCACCTGGGGAGTGGGGGTGGAGGGACTACTGACCTAGTCTTCTTGTGGTTTACCCATATCCCCTTTATCGCCTCTCTAATCTCAACACAACTGGCAGAGTGATTTTTCAAAATATAATGTGACCCTGTCCCTTCCCAGCCTAAACCACTTAAACGCCTTCCCATTCTCTTAGACGAAACCTACTAACCAAGCCCTGAATGACCAGGAGCCTTGCCCACTTCTTCATCTCTTCTCACTACTCAGACCAATTCCATTCTCCTCTCTCTGCTCCAGACAAACTGGTCTCTTTTATTCCCTATTTGCCAGCTTCCTGGCCTCCACAGAGCTTTTTCTCATGCTTTGCTCTGTTCTGGGAAGGTTCTTCTAACCCCCATCCTTCTGAGAGCAGCTGTAGTCTCCACCTCTGAAAGGCATCTTCTGACCTCCCTATGGTGGTGCATTACTCCTCTCACATTGCATGAAACTGTGATCGGGTGGTTATTTTGTTGAATTTTTTACTCTCAGCTACGTAAGCCCAGGGATTTGGTTTTGTTTGGCTCATGATTTGTATTTCCACATTTGTTAAATACATATTTGTTCATAAATGAGAATGATAGGTGCTAGAAGTTGAAGTAAATTTGGCATAAAGTCAGAGAAAGGTAAAATGTCACAGTCTGACATTTGGAGTCAGAATGTAGAAACTTCAATTATATTAAAACTGATTTTATATCGTTTTAGGCTGAGTTGTCACAGGATGCTTTGGGTAACCTTTAAAACTGAGTTCTCAAAGAGCCTTGTATAAACACCTGATTAATAATGATAAGCCATGGGATGGCCCACATAAAACTAATAACATTGGTTGCTTCAAGAGAAGAAGACCGAGTCAGGCACAATGGCTCATGCTGTAATCCAAGCACTTTGGGAGGCCAAGGCCCACAGATCATTTGAGCTCAGGAGTTTGAGACTAGCCTGGGCAACTTGGTGAGACCCTGTCTCTACACAAGATACAAGCAAAATTAGCCGGGTATGGTGGCGGGCACCTGTAGTCCCAGCTATTTGGGAGGCTGAGGTGGGACGACTGCTTGAGCCCAGAAGGGTGAGGCTGCAGTGAGCCATGATCAGGCCACTGCACTCCAGCCTGGACAACAGAGCAAGATCCTGTCTCAAAAAAACAAAACAAAAGAGAGAGAGAGAGAAATGAAGACTGGTGACTGGTGGCTACTGGTGGGAAGGAGATTTTTACTACATGCCCAAAAGGTTTAAAATTGTAACTTTTTTATTTTAAAGTCTGTGAAGATAAATGACAGAAAAGAGCACATACCTTCCCATTTATTTGAAATTCTAGAAAGGGGAAAATTAATCTGTGGTGAAAAAATCATAACAGTGGTTCCCTCTGGCAGAGGATTGACTGGGAAGGTACATGAGAGAAATTTCTGGGTGGTAAAAATGGTCTCTGTCTTTATAGGGATATGAATTATATAAGTGTATTCATTTGTCAAAAAACATACAGTTAACACTTCAATGAATGTAAATTTTTACCTTAAAAACTATAAGAATAAATACAAATTTAAAATCTACTGGCTAACCCCTAGTTGAGTACTCAATGTCTATGGGTATCGGCCAAGGCTATACATACTTGATTTTGTTTAGTCCTCATACCTTCCTCAAGGGGTAGGTATTATTACCATAATCCCCTTGCATATGAAGAAGCCAAAATGTAGTAAATACCAAATAACTTGCCTCGATTTATACCCCTGGAAAATGGTGGAAGAGCTTTAAACACCATCAGTCAAATGCCAGAAGTTGTTAAACATTAGACCCTATAGCACTTCTCTGAAATTATAGTATTTTTGATATATACATACATCTATATGTGTGTATATATATACATCTCATCTACTAGATCAACAGCTTCACAATGATTGAAATCATGGTTTGTCTTTTTGTTTGTTTGAGGTTTATGTTTTTATTTCATTACTTTAAAGACTGAGTCTCAGCCGAGCATGGTGGCTCACGTCTGTAATCCCAACACTTTGGGAGGCCAAGGTGGGTGGATCACTTGAGGTCCGGAGTTTGAGACCAGCCTGGCCAACACGGTGACACCCCATCTCTACTAAAAATACAAAATTAGCCAGGTGTGGTGGCACGTGCCTGTAATCCCAGTTACTCGGGAGGCTAAGGCAGGAGAATCGCTCAAACCTGGGAGGTGGAGGTTGCAGTGAGCCAAAATTGTGCCATTGCACTCCAGCCTGGGCGACAGAGTGAGACTCCATCTCAGAAAAAAAAAAAAAGACTGAGTCTCACTCTGTTGCCCAGACTGGACTTGGATTCCTTAATTCAAGCCATCCACCTGCCTAGGCTTCACCTGGGACTACAGGCTCAATATTTTTGTCTTAAGTTTCTAAGCAGTCCCAACACTTTGCACAGTAGCTGTTCAATGTATTTTGAGTAAATGATTAAAAACAAGCTTGATGTTGATTTTATTGGTATAGTTTATATTTACATATGTAATATTTATATTATATGCTTTTATATATTTATATGTGTGTGTATGTGTATAATTGGTACTAACTTAGCACTGCTGTGCTTAACTGCCTGAGATGCATCTCAAATGAATAGGCCTGAGGAGAGAAGCTTGTGTCATTAGCTCTGACCCTGCAACACTAATTCTGGTTTACCCCTTTCTTTCAGTCTCCCTGAGCACATCAATTTATTGGCTGAAAGAGCTTACACTTTAACATCTCACCGAAATAGCTCATTCTAACCAAGAAAGAGGAAACTCTAACTTCTACCAAGTGCTTGATCATTTGCATAAGTGAAATTTCACTGTGTGAGTTTCACCCAACACCACCTCTGCTCCAGCTCCTGCTACTCTACTGCTCATACCCTGGAACTCCACACGTGGAGTAGAAGACGGAGGATGCAGGGTGCAGGAGGCAGCAGCATCCTCCTCAGAGGTTTTATTTGCAGTAAATTCAGGTGCAGCAGGCAAAGCAACAAGGAGTCAAGGTGAGGCAGGAGAATAGCAGAGGGAACTGGGAATTGAATAAAGGTCAAAATGAGTAGGAGCAGAAGCAGGATAAAGAAGTGGGTGAGCATGAAACAAAATAAGCAGAAGTTGAACAGCGAAAACAAAAGTGAGATAAGAGTAGTGACTAAAAAGCTTATGGCTGGCAAGATCCAGAGCAAACCAGTAAGAGGCAGCTCCTCAGAGATAGGCATGTGTATGAGAGAGAAAAATTAGCTTTAAAATGACCCCAGATGATAATCATCTCATTAAAGCTAATGCATATACACTGCATATAATGGATGTACTTAAAACTATGGGATGGAGGCAATGTGGAAGCTCACAGGGGCCAAAGTAACTAAGCAACCCACCTATCAATCAGAGGGCACATGCTGGGTAGAGATTAGGCAGCCCCAGGAAAAGGAGAAAAAAAAAAAAAGTGTAAAAAGACCCAAAGCCCAAAGTTCACCAAACTTACGCTGATCTCATTTTGCAGAGATCAGCCCATCCTCCCCTCTCTGAGAGTGTTACTGTGCTTAATGAGTCTTTTGCTGCTTTGCTGTGTGTGTCATGTCCAATTCTTTAAGATACCAAGAACCTGGGACTTCACAACACCAGCCAGTAACAAAGGTATGTAAGCTTGGGAGGGAGGAAAGAAAGGGGAAGGGGGCTAGAGGAGATTCAGACATGAGATGCATTCACCCTGTAAGTTGAACCCTGGTCTCCAGCGTGGGTGTTGACAGTTCTATTACTGAACCATCAATGTTCCATGTGCTATAACCTCTCATGGGTGTAAAAACAAACAAACAAAACAAAACAAAAAAACAACTCGTGTTATGGGCAGGCATGAAGGGGCGGGGGATGGAGGTGGGCATGTTCTATAATAGGCTTACACAGATGTCTTTGGAAAAGAGAGCCAACAAAGCAACATGCACTTAAAGCAAAGGCTTGTCCTAAACCTTCTGTTGTTTGCCAAGGGAAGAAATCTTGGCTTGGAGTGAAATTTTCACTTCCTCTCTTGTGTAGATCTCTGTAAGACCTAAAAGCTTGGAAGACAGTCATTTTGATCCTTGGACTTTTCTAGAGACCCAAAAGATGCATCTGGACATGACTCCTGGAGTGG